TATTTTGTTTTGTCTAAAATAATTTGTTTTTAAAAATCTGCTTTATCAATCCAACTTTTTTAGAAGTTTAATTTTTAATTTTTATTTATAGTAATCCGTCCTTAATAATTATGTAAATCTTATAGTTTATATAGAAAGCAAGTATATAGAAAAATAGTAAGAGATTTGCGGGTATATTGACGAGAGAAAAGGTTTTTTTTATAGATATAAATCTTAAAAACATTTACATATTTCTTATTATAATAGCATTAATGTTAAAATATTAATGCAAAATACATTGTCTTTAGAATTTACTTTAAGGTATGTGGTATGTTTTGTATATCATTATCAACAATATTATAGGTACATTATATGCACGTACATATTTATAGTAATGATATCATCACCCTTTGCTTTTTTCTGACTGTGTCATAATATTATAAGGTTTATTGTTCGATTTTCTTATATACAAATATAAGGTTTCCACTAGTCACTATAATATATATTATAAGTCTTAGTTTACTTTGCAATTCTATCGTAAGGTTTCAGTAAACGATGCCACTAGACTATTAAGAATATCATCAATATAATATACATATTATACATTCGGTTCCACAAACATTATTACGACGCTTGTTCCGTATGCATTTGTACGTACCTATATAATACAGTCATAATAACCATTAGCTGCAGTCTTATGATATTTACGTAATATATAATATAGTATGAAATAACTAATAATCGAGATATATATATATAGGTATAGTGTACATAGATAATAAACTAAGAAAATAGAAAAAAACTTATCGAAAGCGTGGAAAGCGTGTCCCAACTTCTAAGTACTTGCTTTTTTTACTCATCTAGGCGCAGGACAGTCATTATAAATTCTGACATCAATTTTGAACGTAACGTGATAAATTATTTTGTTCATACAAAACGATTCTGTATAAAACTTCAATAATACTGAAACCACTTTAATTAACATTTCTTTGCGATTTTTTACTGTTATCTGTTGTATGTGGGGGTGAGGGGTAGTTTACAATTTTTAAAAATGGCGCCAGACTATTTGTTTATTTATAGTTATATATTTGCTTTCATATAAATATCAGCAATTTTATTTTCATATGTTTATATATTAATTTTGAATCATTATTTTTAGTTTTAAAATACAGTTGAAATAATTTAAAAAAATACATTTCTAAAATCTAAGCTACAAATGGTTATGCTGTGATCAACAGAAAGAGGTATAGATAGATATAAAAAAAATAAAAATTAATGAATCGTGATTTGTTACGTGACGTAAGCATACCTATATATAGAACAAGAAGAAGAATCTCTTTCAAACAATCCTAATGTTTAATGATAGAAATGGACCAGTGCGGCAGCTGCAGACATTGAATTATGTGAAAATTCTTTGCTGCATTTCTACGTCTATTGTGTCGATTGGATTAGCAAAATGAACAGTACAATCCACTTTTAATTTTACACACAGTTTTCGTATACCTACACAAAAAAAATAAATAAAACGGTCCAGACGATTAACCCTCTTACGTTACACGCAACAGATATACGACTTTAGGCTGACATTTATACGTTTATGCGAAAGCAAATGGAGAGGGATGTTGTACCCTCGCAAATCAATGGTATTTCTCTCTATGTGTGTCTCCGATAGGATTAATATAAATAAATAAATAATTTTGAGTGCGTTTACTGATCAAACTAATAATTTAACATTAGCACAGTAATAATGTTTCAGTAGTGCATATACTATTAACAAACATGTAAATAATATGGCGTCATACTTTAAAACATAATATATTATATATAGGCATACATGCATTATACTAAAATATAAATAGGTAGATATAATATAAGCACACTATCGAATTGCTGTGTATTTGGAACGGCGGTAAAGTTGTAAGTATATACCGTATAATTGTTTTATTAAATCTAATATCGAAATAATTACACTGACATTCTACAATCTTTAATTTTAAACATTAATAGAATATATTATATTATTGTAAAAGAGGAAAAATAATAGTGATAAATATAAAAATCAAGAGGCTTTTTTTTATGTTTTTATAAATTATTTATAAATAAAATATAATAATACAATACGTATATTTCAATACTAAACTTATTTTATATTAAACAAATATTGGTTAAAAAAATCTACAAAAATCTAATATTTTATCATCATTTTTTTTTTTTTTTTTTTTAAACATATTATATTGTTTATCTAATATTTTTGTGTTATTAAATAAAATTGCACATGATTATGATATTTTCAATAATATATGAAACGTGTAAATAAAGATAAATTATTATTGGAACATAACAACAATTCAGACGTTTTATGAAATTCCAGATTCATTTAAATGACTTAATAATGTTTACTCACTATTGTGATATTATAAAGCTAGATGATAATAAGTTATTATATTAATAGACAAAACAAAACAACAACAACCAAGACAACTAAATATTTACATAATAGTGAGTGTATTTAGAGAAAATATAATATACCATTTAATAACATCAAATGTGTAATTTTAATACTATAAAATATAATTATTGTAGAAGGGATAAAAAATAGAAAAAAAAAATTAAGATTGTAATTGGTGACAATTATTTAAAAAATAGATCAATGTGAACGATACATATAATAAACATTTATATTACGGTTTAAAAATTTAAAATTATAAAATATATAGTACACAGCATTGTTTAGCATAATCAAGTTTACACTTATAAAATTGTACCTATCGAATATCAAATGTTAACTTATTTAGGTTTTTTTTTTTACATTAATCAATGGAGTAAGTTATTTATTGTTTTGTAAAAATTATAAACACTTACAGCTATAGTGAATTAAAGTTATTAAAATATTTTTTTCCACTAATATAATTAGTATTTTGGTATTGTATTACACAAAAAATACCATGCCCATCTGCCTAACATAATTATTGTATTATCTTGGAAAACGTAAATAGAAAAAATAAAACTTAACCGCCAGACAATGTAAAAACAAAACGACGGCGGGCATAATCGAAAAAGATTACGCAGATTTGACGCGACTCATGACGACAACTGAGTTACAACAACATTATTATCATATCATGATAGGTATAAATAAGATTTAATAAGTCATTGTTTAACGGGGCATTAAGCTAATCGTGGTAACACATGTGGCATAAGTTATATTATGTTTGAATAATAGTATACATATTTGTGATCCAAAACCCAATTGTAAATTTAATGAAAACATATTTTACCTAGTCTTTTAAGAAATTATTGTGATAGAAAATACGAGAATAATTAATAAATTGCTATTTACACGTATCCGTGTTGATACAATCTTTTAAAGATTTTATTTTGACTGTATAAATAATTAAAATCATTAAAAATATTATTTTGTATATTTATTAAGAATTTCTAATTTTTAACTTTTGTGTATTTTCATAACTCGTAGATCCATAGTTATTTCTTATTATTTCTTATAAGTATTCTCTTCAACTCTCCTGCTTTAAAAATGATGTTTTAAATACTAGTTCCACTTTTCAGCTTCAAAAATAAAACCGTTTTCAGTTTGTGGATAAGATTTAATAATGTAACAATTGAACATAATAACATATCATGCACTGAAAAAAATTAATATGTTATAGGTATATAATTATAATAGTTGATACTATAATTTTATATAATCGTTCAATCTACGAGTCCTATACTTGTTTATAATAATTGATATAAATCTGCTAAATTCAAATACGAAAATGTAAGACATTGATATAATTTTAAACAATTTATTTCATATAATATAATTAATGGAAGGGAGTTCAGTTACGTATTTATGTGTAAAAAATACATAGAATCGATAAATTATTATTTTACTTTCATATTATATTAAAATTGGTTTTTAATATTCTGCATTATGCATAACTACGCGTATTATTCTACAAGTATGTATATATTATGGTTTTTTTACATTATGTTCAATACTATAACATATTAATAACATAACATAAAAAATACGAGTAGTTATATTATATCTAAAATATTGATTTTTTTATTCAGCTGAAAATGTGCATTGAACAAGGACACATGCAAATGGCAGTGTACGTCAGTATTCATAGGTAAGACTTAATCTTTAGGGTGTCTGTCCTGCAGTACAACGTAGTGCAATACCTACTTGTAAACACTTTGTCACATGTCGTATCACTCGTGTTATGTAATATATATTTTTAGTAGAGTTGTGTTTGTGTTAGTGAGTGTCTACGAGTGTATGAGTGCGTCTTTACGCACCCAAAGAAAACGGTCGAGACCATAAGGATGGGTTTCGACACTCAAGTTGATGGTTGGCATAGAGGAAAAAATATATACTAATTTTATTTTAACGAAACGATCGTTTATTGTTTTTATTTTAAACGTTTACTCTTATTGTTCTAAAATAACACAGCACTTAAAATAGATAAATTACACTAACTGACTCATTTTGTTTAATATACATACATACATATATATAATATAATCATGTGACATACATAAACATATCATTGTATTTTATCATAATTTATCATATATTATACATATATTTATATGATGTGTAGGCGTACAAATAATACGTTTAATAACATTATAATATTATTATGTAGTATAAAAACAGCAAATTTATAATAAATTAATATAATTATATAAGTTAAAAAATTCTTAAATTTCGTTTTTCTCTACGAGTGTTCAATAATAATAATAATAATAATAATAAGTATTTACATAATATTCTACATGTCTTCTAAAGACTACGACAATAAAAATAATAATAAAAACAATAATATGATAAGAATATTTGGTAACAAGAATCATATATAAACATATATGATAATATAAAGGCTATATACAATATTATAATAGTGTTTTCGATAGATAATAATGATAATAATAATAATAATATCAATAGATTCTATAATAATTAAAATGTATTGCACTATTATTTTTATTATTATTACTATATTATACTAAATCGTATTCGTAAGATATAAATAAGTATATGTTTATTATATAAGTATTGTATAATATACGTCTGTATAAGGGTTGTTGGATAAATTGGGACTAGATGAGAAATCGACACTGGCTATGCATCAGAGCAATTCGTTTGCATGTCGGCTTTGCGAATCTTCGATTTTCTAATGCTGAAAAACAAAAGTTTAATACAAATTATAGTTATATTTTAGTAATTTCAAAACGAATTAATTGTATTTTAGTTTAATAAATTTGGTAACCTTTGGTAATACAATACAACTGTACTAATAAACTGTATAAATAAGTACAATATTATATTTATAATAAGTACCTATTTTTAATTGAATTCTTATAATTGATTATACGATATAGTTTAGCGATTAATATTTAAAATATGGCCAATATTAAAAATAAAATTATCAAAAACTCATAGAAATCTACCTTAAAAATTACTCATCAATAAACAATTTACGTATTATTATAATACCAACGAATCAATAATAAATTTGGTCCAATAGCAACCAATTATGTTTCAATTTGTGTATTAAAATTTGCAGTTGTCTTATTAGAACAATGTTTGATAGATTGTAAAGTTGAATGTCTATAATAAATAATAATATTGATGTCATTTCATATTCTGAGGAAAGCGAAGAATGTATTGGTTTTACAACAGGGTGTATATTTATTTATTTTTTATTTTTTGTCATTGCCTTTTAAGAAATAATATTATAAGAAAAACTGCTTTAATATTCAACTTTTATAGAAGTTTCTGGTAGTAAGCTTGATCTTATAAGTACTTTATGGGGGAGCGTATCATTAGTAAATGATATTTAGTATTTGATTATAATTTAAAAATAAATAAAACCATAGAAACAACTATACTAGAAATTTTCTTAAGCTATTAAGAAAGCTATTATATTAGGTAAATTAAAATTTTTGACTTTTTTTTATTTACGTTGATAATTTTTTGTTTTTTAATCAAAAATCTTAAAAGTCTATTACAATAAAGATTATCATAAGTTTCTTCAAAGGAATATTAAGTAGATATATAGTTACAATATTTGTTTATAACTGTCAGAAATTCAGATTTTGATCTATTAATATTAAGACATAAATATCATATGAGCTTACAAATTATTTTGTAGTTGGAAATTAATACGTTTTTAATTTTAATAACTAATAAGGTTTGTAAGTTTAGATAAGTATACGATTCTTCGTACATTTTTGATTAATTTTATTTTATTAAATTTAATTAATTTAAATAAAATTTTAGCGTAAACTGTAAAACCATATACATTTCTTATAAGTGTTAAAAATAAATCTTTACGATAAAATTTTTTTTTTTATTTTGTAATAACTTTATATGTAGATAACTTGAAACGTTCCGCCATTTCCTAAATTATTATTTTTCATACGTTAAAAATCACGATGAAAATGTTAAAATATTTTGACTAATATTATAAGCCAATTATACCATTAATTAAATTACTTTGATCTACGGTAACTTTTAAAAGTAAGTTTATAACAAAAATCTATGATATATTTACTATTATAATCTTCATTTATGTACCAATATATTACATAAAAAAAGGAAAATTATCAAAGTATACTTGAGCGTGCTAATCTCAGAAACTACCAGATGGATTTAAATAAAATTTGTGGAATATAAATTCTCTAAGACTATGAGAATATTTTAAAGATATAAAATAAAATTCTTTAGGTGAATTTAAAGCGAGAAAAATTATTATAACAATGTATTTTATGTTGATTCATTTTTCCCGGGTGAAGTTTGGATGTATAGCTAGCATATATTATTATATTATAATTTATGCGTTGTTTTTGGCGAAAATTAGTTCAACATATTATTATGTATTAATATATGTATAGTTGTATAAATAAATTACAAAATATATTTAGAAATAAATGCTAACAACGCATGCGTATCTGCTCATTACAATTTTACACATCTATACAAAAGTGAAAAATATGACAAAGTATATCTACAGTCGAAATCTATATCATAAAAATAATATATTATAACATATTTTTATTTAAATACAATGATCTAATAAGTGTTCAAATTCTGAGTTGTTAGTAAGCAAATATAAGTACATACATAATGTAAGATTGTAATTATTTATCAGTGAATATACCATTGAATTAATCAATAAAATGTTATTAAAGCTAAACGAAAATTGTCGAAAAAATGCATTCATTTGTAATACGTTAGTTTATAAGTGTATTTACCTATAGGTACCGGTTATCGAAAATTATAGACATTTAATTATTATGACGAATTTTTTAATCATTGAACCCAGTACTATTGCATAGTATATAGAATATATATATAAATATATATGGAATAGCTGTATAGGTAGCTATAATGTATTATTCTGGTAAATTGTTTTTAAAAGCGCGTAAATTCGATTTTTTTTTTTTTTTTTTAATCTTATTTTATTATTGATTCAATATTTATAACAATTAATTTTTTAATACGAAACAAATAATTGTTTGATCTGTGATCATAAATAATAAATTTTGTTTAAATTGCTTAGAACATACTAATTATTATACGTATTATAATCATTAAACCTAGGTAGGTATGTATATACTATATATGTATATCATTTAGTGAATCTTATCATTGTTATATTATAGTTTATGATTACCGTATTGATTGTAGACCTACACATACTACCAATAGTTAAAAATATATTTAAATGCGATCAACAATGAAATTATATTGATTACCTATAATTACAATACGATAATATTTATATTTACCTCCGACGAGCTGTTGGTACCATGTAATCGTTCGGCACCAACGCCTCCGCATGACGAAACAGCGTAATAGTGTGATAAAAGACGACGATATTATATAATTATACGTTATGTCATGCGTCGAGTGGCACACGACTGCGGAGGCGGCTGCATCATCACCTGGCCCACGTGGTCTGCTGGAGCGGCGTGAACGCCGAGTCGAAATTCTGCCTGGCCGACGGCTGCGGCGAAACGGCCGCGGCGTCGTGGTGACGGCGGTTTTCGTGGCGGCCGATGCGTTCGTCGTCGTCGTCGTTGTCGTCGTCGTCCGGCTCGCGCTGCTGCAGCGGGTGACGGCCACCGGGTCGGGCCGGCGACACGCTTGCCGGCGGTGCGGGCGACGGTTTCTTGCCCATGATTGAATCGATGCTGAACCCGGTGGACGGCTGTTTGACCGCCAACCGACCGCCGCCGGCCACTACGGTGGTCGCGTATGACGGCTGTATCAGGTTGCCGTGCTGGTGCGTCACCAGCGGAGGCTGTGACAGTTGTTGCGGCTTGTATGCCGCGGCTGCGGCGGCGGCTGCTGCGGCGGCGGCCACCTGCCCGTTGTGCAGCAGATTCAGACCGAACGTTATGCGCGCCAGTTCGGCGGCCGGTAGCTGTAGCGACTGCATGGGGGGCGCGGACGCGGACGGCGGCTGCGGCGAAGGTTGCTGCGGCTGTGAGCCCGGCAGAGACGGCGCCTGGGTCTGTGAAGGATGTGGCGGCATCGGTGGAGGTCCGAGATGGTGGTAAGGATAGTGATGGTGGTGGTGCAACACCGAGTACGGATCCGAGGCCGCGGCGAAATGGCTGTGGTGCGGATGGTGATGGGGGTGGTGCGGGTGATGTTGGTGATGGTGGTCGCCGCGGTGAATGAAAAAGTCCGAGGGGGCCTGCATGCGCTTGTATCGCTTGCGCCGGCGCAGGAAGCTGCCGTTGTCGAACATGTCCTCGGCCATCGGGTCCAGGGTCCAGTAGTTACCCTTTCCCGGGTTGCCCGGTTCCCGGGGTATCTTGATGAAGCAGTCGTTGAGCGACAGGTTGTGCCTGATGGAGTTCTGCCAGGCCGGGAACTTGTCACGATAGTACGGGAACCGGGACATGATAAACTCGCAGATGCCGCTCAGAGTGAGCTTCTTGTGCGGTGACTGCAATATGGCCATCGTGATCAGCGCTATGTAACTGTAAGGCGGCTTGACGGGCGATCCGTTTCCGGCAGCCGACGTCTTGTCACCGTCTTCACTGCACGCTCCTTCTTGCGCACCCGGCGACGTCGTCTTGCTGCGGACGCCACCGTTGTTGTTATCGTTGCATCCGGCCGCGGCGACCGCAGCGTCGTAATCGTCGTCATCGTCGGCCGAATCCACGTTCACGTCGGTCGTTTCGACCGAGCCGACGCTACACGGCGGTGACGCGGACGCCGCGGTCGAACCGGCCTGCACCATCACGGCGGATGTGGCGCCGACACCACCACCGACGCCTCTCAAGTCCAGCGGGCTGACGACTTGATGCATGACCGCCGAGTCCAGGGCAGCCTGATATCGGCGGCTAAAATCGTAAACGGGCAAGAACACGGCGGCTGCTGCGGCCGCCGCGGCGGAGGTGGGAGAGGAAGTGGCCAGAGTACCTCCACTGATGCTACCGCTGCCGCTACTGCTGCTGCTGCTGCTGCTGCGGTGGTGTTGGTGTTGTTGATGACGGTTGTGATGGTGATGGTGGTGATCGTCGTCTTGCATGCCGGCGGTGCCAATCACCACGCAGCACATTTGGCCACAGTCTCGCACGTCATGTACGACGACGGAAACTGGTTCGAAAATTAAACACGGATAGAAACGTATTGATATTGTTTACGGGTGTGTTTAAGAACGCCGCGAATAAAAAATAAAAAAACCGACTTAAGCTCACGAGCGCAAGGAAAAATCGGCTTTCCGGGTGCCGGTGACGTTGCAAAAAAATCAAAAAGTATGAAATTACCGGAAAACTTAATCGGTATAGAGGTTAGGCGTATACACGAATCGTGTCCACGGCGACAGCGACGCGACGACAACGGTTGCGGCGGCGACGACGATTGCGGCGGTAGCGATGTATAATTGGTTCACGTTGACGTGTGGCGCGCGATATTATCACTGAGCCGACGACGACTGCGTCGGTAGCGGTGGCGCGGCGGCGGCCGCCGATGCGGAGGGCGTAGCCGTCCTGAATTCGATGGGTGTGGACACGATCCCGCCGAATGGGCGGGCGGTAAAAGACAAACGGCGGTGGCGGCGGCGGCAACGGCTAGGTGATCAAATCATCCTTTGTATTATATTATATACATTTAATAATATTGTATACGCGCGCTCATCCCTCCGGTCCGAGACAAACTGCAGTTCCGATTGTGCCAACTATATAACCGGTGGCAACCTCAATGCGGATTGTTCGATCACCCTCCCACACTCCTATCTACCCCTCTCTACCAACACAACCAACCACCTAACCGCGCTCGCATTATTTATATCCACCATAGATTACCCATACATATATATATATATATGTATATAATATGCAAACGCAAATAATTATATAATGTTCTTTCTCTTTTTCATTCTCTGTCTATTTCTCTCTCTTTATCGTTTTATCTCTCTCTCTCTCTCTCTATCTCGCTAGATGACTGTTTCACACTCATTCTCTCTTTCTCGTTGAGTATAGCATATAAATTATATAAATTATGCTGTATACGCGCATATAATATAAATGTATAATGTATCACACCCACTGCACATTACATGCATGCTGCCTTTAAACCTCGATGCTTTGAAGTCGCAAACTGTTCGATTAAATCGTCTATCGACTTATAAAATAAATAGGTACATGTAATATGTATAATGTATACCTATACAGTAGTATATAGGTCCGCTACGGTGTAACTTAAATAGGTATTTAATATAATATACAGATATAGCTTCTATTTCTTATACGTATTATGTAGAGATTATTACACACGTTACAGCTAATATTGAAAAAATTGTGTATATATACACATATAATATGCCCAAGTATTAATATAATTATAAAATCTTACAGATATATACCTAATTATAATATGCACTGCGCATTCATCACTTCGTTGTTGTTTATTTCGTACTTATTAGTAAATACAATATAAATTTATTCAAATTCTGATTTTAGAAGGGGCTCTAGAAGTGCCTCTATTAAGGTTTTTTTATATCGTTTAAGAAGTGCTTGTGATGATAAATAATATATATATTTTTAACTCTTCGATTTATAAGTATATACTATATAGCCTACATATACCTACCGGCTACCGCTATAGGTATAAGTAAATACAAAAGCCTATAGTCAAATTATGATTTTTATTGCCACAAGTTCACACTTTAAATGCCATAAAAAATTTAGCTTATATTTGAAAATTCAAAAACCAGAATTCAACTAAATACATAATTAATCAAAAAAAAATAAGGGTGGTCGTGGTATTGTTGTATATCAACATTCAACATGCATATCAAATATATATATAAGTATAACTAAAAAATGTACTACAATTTAGAATATATATATATATATACTTATTAATACATAGGTACCTATATATATGATGTGTCGATATAATTTCTATGCTTTCTATGCAATATAATATAAATTGCCGTAAAAGATAAGAAAGTATTATAAAATAGTCTTTTTTATAAATCATTCAGGGAAATATAATCAAATAAAAAAAGGTTGATATTTTCAAGTAAAAAGGTACCTATATGTCATATATCCTAACACAACTGTTTTCTTTAAAATCATTTATATTTTATAGATATCTAGGTGTATTGAATAAAATAAATAAAATATAATAATATTCAGTGTCAAAAGTTGCTCAATGACTCAAGAAACCATTGTAGCAAAATATTTTATGACTTATATGAAGAACGCCTATTATATTGTATAAAAAAGTTTTTTGATACCACATTTATAAAAAGAAAATATTTTTGATTTGAACCTATTTATAGGTACAATAATATTTTATGTGTATACTTTAATACTTATATAATAAACAATAATGGATTACAAATTTGTTGTATAAAAACAACCACCACTAATTTATTATTTTAAATTAAAGCTTAAATTTATAACTCTTATATAATACGTTTTGATAGACTATTATAAACATTTTAGTTTAATAATTAACTTAGTGTAATAGTTAAATATTAGTAAATATACTTATGCTTACACTGAATATAATGTACTTAACTTTAACTGTAGATATAGTATATTAATATTATACACGAATACAGGTGCGTGATATTTAAATATTATTATATTTTAGGTATTCTACTTAATTATAAACAATTCGCTTGTTTAAAAAGTTAAGTAGACATAATTAAGACGATGACGATGTAGAATAAGCCGAGCACATAAAAGATACTACAATAAAAATATAAATGTTAATATATGTTTACCTGTATATTATATAAACTATTAAACTATTTACATTTGGAACGATTTAATATAGTACCTATATAATATATTATACATACATAAATTGTGTTTCTACATGCGCCAAGGGAAACTTAAAACAAAAACGTTTACAAAGTGTTTGGAAGGTGTGTTTCTTATACTATTCATTTTGTGATTTATATACACTGTTAACGATCACTCGTAGCGTTAAATATGCACGAGTATATGCATAAGCCCGTATTTTTCACTATTATTTCTTGTCTACAACAGCTTGTCATAAAAGTGGCCAACAATGATAGGTATATATATTACAAATACTATATATTTTATTATGTGTAATAATAGTTGGATAGTATACTAATAGTTTATAATATTTAATAATTTAGATGTAAACATTGTCATATATATCTATATCTGCATAATAGTAGATAAGCATAATTTTTATGATAATTGATTTCTTACTATATAAATTTAAAAAAAAAACATATTATGATATCTAGTTGAAAATGTTCAAGGATAAATATAGGTACCCTATACATGCTTTAAAATTTGAACGATCGGCTTCTAAGTAATTAAACTTTATGTATTAATAGTATAATTTTATTATAGTCAACTAATTATAATTGATTATAATCAACCACATTTTATTATTTTCAACAAAATTACAGTATTTATATGACGTATAGGTATATGATATTTTATATTATAGGATAAATTAGATAATTAAAATTATACAGAGTTATAATTTAAAAAACATTTCAAAACAGTTATTAAAGGTCAATGAAGATTAATAATAAGTAATACCATATTATAATTTTATATTTATATATACATACTATTGACTATTTATTCATTTAATAATATCGTTTTATTAATCAAAGAGTTTATCTATATTGAATAATTTTACATATAAATAATTTTACGATCACTGCTGTCACACTTAAGTTGTAATGATAATTATTCATAATTGAAATATTTTATTTTTATGTACATTAATACGTTAAAAGATGGTCATTGCTGAATAAAAATTAAAACAGTATACGATAACATTGATAATCAGCTCTTATATATGATTTACGATCGTTGTAATAAATTTAAGATCAGAGAAGTATAATTATTTATCAAATTAAAAATAAAACTACTGTTAGACATCATTAATTATAATTTATAAAAGTACTTTTAGTATGCTATCTTTCAGATAAGTAAATCTAACTAATATAGATTATAAGACTATACTAAATAAAAGTCGAAAACATATTGTTTTGTTTCCGCATGCATTATAAAATGTTACATGTGCATAAGCATATACATTCTTATGTAATATGTATAATACCTATAGTATTGACCATAAATAGGTAGTAATACTACCGTAGTATACTTGCAACTTGCAAAGTTCGAAGTGTTAATAGACATTAAGAATTATAACATTTATAACACACTACCCTGCAGCTATACAATATCTAACGATCATTAACTAATGGAGATTCAGTCTTTACCATCAAATACAAAAATCTTCGTATATACCTAACCAATTCTGGACTGCCTATAGTGTATCCATATTTAGTGTCCAAGTATTATCGTTGTTAATTGTTATGAATATAACAACTTATTTTAAGTATTCATGTAGGTGCTATTATATATCGTTTGGTAATGGCATTTTATTAACCTAAATAACTCACTAAAGCCTATTGCTATTCACTGAAATATTATGTTGTGAACAAGCAATAGTATAATAATTAACCGTTCCCATACCTATATATGTACGTTTAATGAAAAGTTCGCATTACAACCCTCATCGTTATGGTAAGTTGGGCAAAAGTTAATTTATTTATATATATATATGTATATATATGTATATATATATGCATTAACGTGTCTCATTGATTGCCAATTTAGTTATAGTTATTTAAAATTCTCGGATTTTCTACACTATATTTATGTATTAATGACCGGTTGTGCCGTACAATAGGGTTTAAAATATGTACCATTTATTAAGTGGTATTTTGTAAAACCACCGGAACCTCTTCAGCTATATAATAACAGGCGAGAGGAGACCATTGACGCGATTCATCATGCGCAAACGTGCGAGTGGCGTTTGGATTACATGTTGGTAGTGTATATATATTAAATAGGTATAGCAAGTGAGTAAGTGTATTACTAAGGGTAGACGAGGGGCGTTGGCGACCAAAAACTGTAGTTCAATCAGCGATGAGAGGTGCGGAGTAAAGTATTGTATCTATAACTATCACACTATATATACATATCGAACTTGCCAAATTCGTACGGTGGAAGTTATCGATGTTGGTTGGAGAAAGGTGGAAATTAATGTACGCTATATATCTACAGAGTGATTCACCAAACAACATTTTCTTCATTTTTTCTTTAATAATGAATTTATTCAAATTCTTATTATTAATTTTTTTAAATATAATAGGTAGGTATTTAAAAATTACTACTTATTTTGAAATTTAAGATAATATTGTTTTTAAATACTACTAATAGGAGAATTTTGCGTGGTGACAAAAACTATTTGTCTCAAGGTGAGAGCATTTCTGTATTATAAAGTATTTTATGGATAATAAATAAATACTGTAAAGTATTTAATTAAAAACTAAAAATATTCGAACGATTAGTTTTTCAGTTATTAAAATGCTTTTATAAAAAATATAAAATAAATGTTGATCTATTATTTACAATATTTTTACAAATTATAAATATTGATTAATTCTTTACATAAATCACTAAAATTTTCAAATTTACATTTTCCTTTTAAATAAGCCATTATCGTAAGTTTTAGAAAAAATAAACACAATGTGATTTACGGTTGAAAAGATAGAGAAAGGAGAGAGGTTGTCATTTG